ACACTGGCAGAAAAAAAGGCCCAACAGAAGTTGGCACTCTGGGAAAGCGGCTGCTGGCCAAGATGGAGAACTGTTAAGACAGTAACTGCTCTGCTCCAGCCAAACACCACAGGAGGAAACAGTGGTCTCCCCAGCCACAGGAGGAAGGCTAAATGTGAGGCCGTGACGAGGGGGAGTGGGGCCATGGAAGCCCACTACACGAAATTCTAAGGTCCTCCCTGAAATCACACATCACACCACGGAATAGTTCTCCAACCAAAGAAAATAGACAGTAGGTGACAAAGGATGGCAGCACTGATTCATCCGAGATTTTACAATTGTTTGTTAAGTCATAATTAGTCATATAAATATGCTTCATCAAGCAACTGCAATCATGCTTGAAGCAAATGAGAAAATAATCTCAGCAGAGTCCCATTAAATGAAGAGTCAAATGGAAACTTTAAAGAAATATGACACCCAAACCAAAAATCCACTGGATGGACTCAACAGCACAAGACACAGAAATCAGTAAGCTGAAGGACAGAAATCACCTAATACCTAAAGAGAAAAAGGATTATTAAAAAAAAAAAGGACCTCAGATGTGCAAGACTCTCACAAAAAACCCCCTAACAGTCACATAATTAAAGCTCTAGAAGGAAAGGAAAGGAGAAAGAGGATGGGGGACAAATGTGCTGGAAGAATAATGGCTGAAAAGTTCTCAGACTTGGCAAAAACATAAACTCTGGGTTTAAGAAGCTGAGCCAACCACGAACAGGTAGCCCTGTTTTGTTGACCTGACATATTTTGTCCTCTCCTCCCCTCCCCCCAATTCATTGTATCCTTCTTTTACTGTGTTTCAGTTAACAGATTAAAGTTTTAAGCAATATAATAAATCACCTAATACACTGGACCAGCACAGAACTCAAACAAAATCTTCATGCATTCATATGAAACATACTCACACATCACTTAAGGACAGTGACACACACAGGAGATTCCTCACTGTGTAAGCAGAATACACACACACACAAACCTAGAGGGTCCAGCCTTCCACACATCTTGTCTATATGGTACGTACCATAATCTATGTTAACTGTTGTTGATGGAAATGTCATATATGACTGTAGTTTAAAAAAAACAAAAACAAACCTGACTATAGGCCAAAAAAAGCAAGTCTCAGGAATTCTCAAGGGACTGAATATTATAGAGATCATAAAGTAGCTACCTTAGAGTCAAACAAAAGCAAAAAC